TACATTAGGACGATAAACGCACAATAAAAAAATATGAAATAGTAAACACATTGATCTATAGGTCAAAATGCACTCAATCCAAATCATTAATCATCTGCGTGTCAGGGTTGGCAGGCATCTACTCCAGCAGGTATCTGGCTGAGGATGTGCTGCCGCACCTACAGCACAGCCACCACCGCCTGCTCCTCCCACACCTCCACCACACACTAGGGCTCCAGTGTTGGTTGAATTAGCGTGTGGTGGAGCTGCGGGAGGAGAAGGCAGCAGCTGTGCTGGAGGTGGAGCAGCACATTCCTCTGCCGGATACCCGCCGGGGTAAATGCCCGCCAGCCCTGACACACAGAGGAGTAGATGCCTGCTAGCCCTGACACGCATGATTATGATTCAGACCTATAGGTCAACGTGTGGAGGTCAGCCTGCATGCCTGGTGGTGGGGACAAAACGGTGTATTAAAGAAAAGGACCAACAATCACATTATGTGGATTGATTTTTTTTTTTGTGTAACTTTTCACTATCACTGTGGAATGTAATTTTTTTATTGATCACTTGAAATATTTGTGGTCTATTATTGTATACATATATATTTTTTATACGAGTCACAATATTGTGAATTTTTTTCACATGAAAAGACTAACAGGTCGTCCGGGTGTTTATTTAAGGTGTCTTTTCTTATCCTTAACTATTCTACTATTTATGGTTTGAACACATTCTTATTGATTACACACTTTTTACACTGGTGGGATATTGTGCATGTAGCTTTTTGAGCAAGGCTCTGTCAGGTGTTTACCATTTCATATTTTTTACTATGCTTTATCGTCCTATTGCACTAGAGTATAGATAGGTGCGGTTATCTAGCACATTTCTTTGGGGCTAATATAAAGCACAGCATTGGTCAATTGAGAGGAACACTTTTTGGTGCTTGCAGCTTTTAAGGTAGTTATTTTTATTTCACTGGCAGCGCATAAGACTCCTTATATTAAATCGATCATACAAATGGCAGTAACCCATATTAGCTCTCCTTTTTACAGGCTGGGCTTACTTTACAAGTGACGCTGTGGCCAGTGTGTCACTTTACAATTTCTTTACAAACAGTAAAACAGTTTTAAACATTTTAAAGTGCATAATCGGTGCACTTTAATTGTTGACCACACTTTAAGGCAAGACTTTTTTTTTTTTTTTTTTTTAAGCGGTGAGGCGTTAGAACCACTTATAGGTTTTAATTGCTTCAGCTCAATCCACCCAACGCCATACCCTTATAGCCCAAAAATGGGGTGCTCAGCCAGCAGCAATATAAGATTATAACTCATTTAGAAACTAGCCAGCACACCAGGAGAGATGAACCTCATAAATCCAGATTTGAGGATCAATTCTACCTGCTGGGACATTAAAGCTTTTTGAAAGAATTTACTGAGCCCTGGTCTCAAAAAGGTTGAGAACCACTGCAGTAGAATAGCATCCCTGTCAAGTTTTCATTGTTGTTTGTCGCCTACTGATATCACCCAGATATCTGGGGTTTGATTTGTTTCTGCCACTTGTTGCTTTGACACTCTTGTTCCACTAATTTTTGTCCTGGCTTCACAAAGGTATGTCTGCAGTGGACAGAAAAAAAAAAAAAGTTGTTGGGGGACTTGGCTTTTATTAAAGCTGTACAGAAACCTAAAGCCCTTTTCCTAAATGCTACTTGACTGCCCGTTTCAGGCTTCTACTTTTAAATCTACAACTTTTATTCAAATACCTGGTGATCCTTCTATGAAAGTCAATTGTACAGAGTAATAACATTGAATATTTCTAACTGTTATCTTGCATCGGGATCCTTCAGCATGCTTTCCTAATGGAGACTAATCCTTTGCTCACATGTGTGGCAAATTTGTAAACACCTTTGAAAAATTATTTGTGGTAGATTGCCAACTAACTGTAAACCAGCTTTGAAAGGCAGACATTTAGGAGCCCGTTTGCCACCTTCTAAATGCCGTTTTGTTATCCCCAAGGGGAATTTGACACTGAAATCCTTGAAGACATGCAGCAACAGAGTGACCACAGCTGTTTTTGCAGCACTGTCTTATGGACATGAGCGGAGCACAGATGGCAAGCAGCACTGCCTACCAGTCACAACATGCTGTGTAAAAATTGGCAAAATGCAGAGAGACCTGCAGTAATGTATGTTTATCAATGGCCTGTTTATTCAACCCCCTGGCAGCATGTGTGAATGAGGCCTACTAATGCCCATGATGGCATACACTGCACAGGCATGGTTCACGGTTGTCACCATCAGGAACGGCCTTGCCCTGAGAGATGATTTGCAGCAGTTGCTAGATTGTGTGGATGTAGACAAGAAGAAACTACAGGAGATCACACACAACAAAGGATATAAAAAAGTGAAAAGAAGTATTTTATTTAAAAACAATGACAACTGTTTGATACACAGTGCTTTAGCAAACTAAACTTAATTAATTCACAGTTTACAGCCGCTTTAATTTTTGGAGCACAGGCTACCTGGATTGTGGGATTGGGCAATTTGTGGAATAATCAAGTTCAGTATAACACAACACAGTAGGGAAATAGAGAAGCTTGTCAGTGCAATTACCAGGGTATAAAGCCAGATACAGATGGTTTGAATCTTGGCCAGTTCAGCAGGGACTGGCCAAGACTCAAACCATCTATGGGCAAGCAGATTGTACCCAATTCGATTGAAGTATGACTTGAGTACAGATTTTTCATGTGATTATAGCCGCTAGCAGTAATCACTGTGTTCTCATGGCAGGGACAGCCTCATCAACACACTGACTGTTGATGAGGGAATCGAGAGATTCGCTTTCATAAAACCCATGGTTACAGGAAAGAAAATCGCATTGTCTATGGTCGGCTTAAGTCAGAAGCAGAATGGCTGCAATAGGCACAACACAGACAGATCCTTTATGTTAAAGTGGAACTTTAGGTCAGAATTAAAGATGGGTGAACAGGCAGGAATAATGCCGAAGAGACATGCTTTGTCTTGTCAGGATTAAAAGTTACTTGCCTGCCTGTCCCGCCCTTGTACAGTACACTGTGCATGCGCAGCTCACTGTACAAATTCAGCAATGCCAAATCTGACTGAACGCCCATGCATGTGTGTGAGTGACATCATCCCTATCCAGCCAATGACCGTGGAAGGCGATCAAGACCTGGAAGCCAGCCTCCTGAAGATGTCAGCGGCTGAATGAGGAGCTTGGGGATGCCGCATTGCTGGAGCTGAGGTGAGTGTAGTTCTGCTTTAATGCACTACTTTATATCTTCCGAAGGTCAGGCAATGCAGAGCTGTGCTTCTGAAAATCAGACTATTAGCCATCTCTATAACAATATGATTTTAACAAATCTTATTACAGCTGAAGTCTAGGAATATGAAAAAAAACAAAAAAAACTAATTAATTAAAAAAAAAGGTCATTTTGATACTGTTGGAACATGGCAACAAAAAGCTGTCAAAGTACGTGGTACTAACAAGGAAGAACACTTTGCACTTAATTGGGTTAATTGGCAACAGGTCAGCAACATGATTGGGCATAAAAAGAGTATTGTAGACAGCCAGAGTGTCTCAGAATTAAAGATATGGAGATGTCAACCAATCTGTGAAAAGCTGCCTCTAAAAATTGTCAATTTCTGAATAATGTTCCTCAACGTAAAATTCCAAAGGCTATTATATAAACACACACACACACCATCATCTACAGTACATCTACATAATATAAAACGATTTTGAAAACAGAGAAAGCTCTGTGCACAAGAGACAAGACCGAAACACAATGTTGGATGACCGCGATCCTCAGGGCCCTCAGACAGCACTACATTAAAAACAGGCATGATTCTGTGATGGCATCACGTACTATGTAGGACCAGCAGTCCTGCATTTTAAGTAAGGATGCCGAGGGACCGCCCACAAACTAGAGCATCGGAGAGAATTAGTGACCGCTGACTACTGTGGGAGTGAGGCACAAGGCAAGCAAGAGTGCTTTTTTCCCAGTACCCTTTACAAAAATATGTATTAAAACCTTGCAACGCGGAGGGGCCCCCACTGCAGGGGTAGTTTTTTTCATATCCTAGGAGTTCAGCTTTAAATTACACTGATGGAATGTCAGCCACCCAATTTCAGCTCTCCTACACATGGCTAACTGCTTTCTTCCAATACTTCCATACTGCCCATATATTGAACCAAGTTGTGTTTTCCTGTTTATGGGGGTGATTGCAGCATACAGGTGCTTCAATGAGTCTGACTGTCACACCATGTCTATAAGCTCATTAATATGAGGCGAACTGAGAATAATAAAAAGAAAAAAAAAAAAAAAAAAACACCTACACATATGAAAAATAATCTGATCTAATTCCAGCTCAGATGGACCAGCTGAAGTGCCTCAATATAAATGTGTGGATCTGTGTGGTACTCTGTGACTCTGGCTGACTGCCATCAAGCGTCTTTCGAGAGATCAAAGTAAAAAATGGAACCTTGTTATCTGTAGACTGGCAACCTTCCCAGGAACAACTCCCTTTACCTAGATAATGTGACTGCTTACTGTCCATTGTGATATTCACCATGCAAATAAAGGAAATCTACAAAATCGCATGAGCTAACTACTTCAGACACAGTTTGAGTCACTGTTAGCAACTTAACAAAAAAAACTGAGATAAAAACAGTATAATCAAGTATTTTACATGCTTACAAAACCATGCCCTATGCGAGGAGCACGTTTGCCCAAGCAAGGATACACAGGTGTTCCATGCATCCTCCACACAGGCAGTCCCTCTGCTGTCTTAGAAAAAATATATGGTGCAAACTGAGAAAGGAGTCCATTATAGTCATATGTAGTCCATCCTAGATTGTGAGCTCGAAAGAGCAGGGCCCTCGATCCCCTCATGTTTTGCATTGTATTGTTATTGTTCTGTCAGATGTTCTGTCCCCCTTTGTAATGTACAGCGCTGAGTGAACTATTGGCGCTTTATAAATACTGTATAATAATAATAATAATAATGTGGACATACACTATATTGCCAAAAGTATTGGGATGCGCCTGCCTTTACACACACATGAACATTAATGGCATCCCAGTCTTAGTCCATAGGGTTCAATATTGAGTTGGCCCACCCTATGCAGCTATAACAGCTTCAACTCTTCTGGGAAGGCTGTCCACAAGGTTTAGGAGTGCATGTCTATGGGAATGTTTGACCATTCTTCCAGAAGCACATTTGTGAGGTCAGGCACTGATGTTGGATGAGAAGGCCTGGCTCGCAGTCTCCACTCTAATTCATCCCAAAGGTGTTCTATCGGGTTGAGGTCAGGACTGTGCAGGTCAGTCAAGTTCCTCCACACCAAACTCGCTCATCCATGTCTTTATGTACCTTGCTTTGTGCACTGGTGCACAGTCATGTTGGAACAGGAAAGGGCCATCCCAAAACTGTTCACACAAAGTTGAGAGCATGAAATTGTCCACAATGTCTTGGTATGCTGATGCCTTAAAGGATAAGTTCACCTTTGTGAACATGTTACATCTGTTTTTAGGGTGTAACATCTTCCCATAGGCGCAGCTGTTGCCTGCGCCTCCCCCCGACAGATAGTATGGTCTCCCGTACTGTCTGTCAAATTTGAAAAAAAACATGGCCATGAGGGGCTCCACCCACTGGGCTGCATCATTTGTTCATGCACTTCCGTGAATTAATGAACTGCAAGTCCCGACAGCCTTAGCGTCTGTCGGCTTGTAGTTCATTGAAGCTTCCTGTCAGAATATCTGCTTGATTGTACATTCCGTACGGCAAGCAGATATTCTGAGAGCTCTGGAGGAGACCTGCATGGCATCCGTGATCTACTGAATGCTGGTGCAATGCTTTCCACGCTCCTGCAGACAAAAATAATAAATACATTTTTTTACCTGCAAAAAAATGCATTAATATTTGTCTAAAAAGGTGAACTTATCCTTTAAGAGAGTTCTCTTCACTGGAACTAAGGGGCCAAGCCCAACCCCTGAAAAACAACCCCACACCATAATCCCCCCCTCCATTAAACTTTTTACTTAGCACAATGCAGTCAGGCAAGTACCATTCTCCTGGTAACTGCCAAAAGCCAGGCATGTCCATCGGATTGCCAGAGAAGCGTGATTCGTTGCTCCAGAAAACACATCTCCACTGCTCTAGAGTCCAGTGGCGGCATGCTTTACACCACTGCATACAACGCTTTGCATTGCACTTGGTGATGTAAGGCTTAGATGCAGCTGCTCGACCATGGAAACCTATTCCATGAAGCTCTCTACGTACTGTTGTACTAATCTGAATGCCATTTGGAGGTCTTTAGCTATTGACTAATTTTACGTGGCCTACCACTTAAAGTTGCTGTTGTTCCCAGCTGCTTCCACTTTGTTATAATACCACTAACAATTGACCGTAGAATATTTGGTACAAGGAAATTTCACGGATGGACTTAATACACAGGTGGCAACCTATCACAGTACCAAGCCTGAATTCACTGAGCTCCTGAGAGCGATCCATTCTTTCACAAATGTTTGTAGAAGCTCTGCATGCCTAGATGCTTCATTTTATACATCTGTGGCCATGGAGGTGATTGAAACACTCGAATCCAATGATTTGGAGGGGTGTCCAAATACTTTTGGTAATATAGGGTGTGAATATATATATATATATATATATATATATATATATATATATATATATATTATATATATATTATTAAACATGTGAATATACAGTTGCAAGAAAAAGTATGTGAACCCCTTGGATTACGTGGAGTTTTGCATGAATTGGGCATAAAATGTGCTCTGAACGTCATCTAAGTCACAACAATAGAAGAACACAGTCTGCTGAACATAATACTACACAAACATTAGATGTTGCCATGGTTTAATTGCACATAACATGTAAACATTCACAGTGCAGGGAGGAAAAAGTATGTGAGGCCCTAGCTTAATGACTTCTCCCAGAGCTAATTGGAGCCAGGAGTGAGCCAACCTTGACTCCAATCAGTGTGATGATATTGGATGTGTTGCTGACAGCTGTCCTGCCCTTAAAAAACACACACCTGTTTTGGGTTTACTGGTTTCAAGAAGCACTGTCTGATGTGAACCATGCCTCGCAGAAAAGAGCTCTCAGAAGACCTACGATCAAGAATTGTTGACTTGCATGAAGCTGGAAAGGGTTACAAAAGTATGTCCAAAAGCCTTGATGTTCATGTGTCCACAGTAAGACAGACTGTCTACAAATGGAGAAAGTTTAGCACTGTGCTACTCTCCCTAGGCGTGGTCGTCCTGTAAAAACGACTGCAAGAGCACAGCGCAGAATGCTGCATGAGGTAAAGAAGAATCCCAGAGTGTCAGCTAAAGACCTACAGAAATCTCTGGCACATGCTAACATTTTTGTTGACACATCTACAATAAGGAAAACATTAAACAAGAATTGAGTACATGGGAGGACACCACGGAGGAAGCCATTGCTGTCCCAAAAGAATACTGCAGCACGTTTGAAGTTTGCAAAAGAGCACCTGGATGTTCCACAGCACTACTGGCAAAATATACTGTGGACATATGAAACCAAGACTTAGTTGTTTGGGATCACACAACACTATGTGTGGAGAAAAAAAGGCACAGCACACCAACATCAAAACCTCATCCCCACTGTAAAACATGGCGGAGGGAGCATCATGGTTTGGGGCTGCTTTGCTGCCTCAGGGCCTGGACGGATTGTTGTAATTGATGGGAAAATGAATTCCAGAGTTTATCAAGACATTTTGTAGGAAAACGTACGACCATCTGTCCGCCAACTGAAGCTCCGCAGAGGATGGGTGATGCAGCAGGACAATGACCCAAAGCATACAAGTAATTCAACAAAACAATGGCTGCAACAGCACAGAATACGCCTTCTGGAGTGGCCCAGTCAGAGTCCTGACCTCAACCTGATTGAAATTCTGTGGCATGACCTTAAGAGAGCGATTCACACCAGACATCCCAAGAATATTGCTACACTGAAAAGTTTTGTGAAGAGGAGTGGTCCAAAATTACTCCAGATCATTGTGCAGGTCTGATCTGCAACTACAGGACACGATTGGTTGAGGTTATTGCTGCCAAAGGAGGGTCAATAACCAGTTATTAAGTCCAAAGGTTCACATACTTTTTCCTCCCTGCACTGTGAATGTTTACATGTTATGTGCAATTAAACCATGGCAAGATCTAATGTGTGTGTATTATTATGTTCAGCAGACTGTGTTCTTCTATTGTTATGACTTTAGATGACGTTCAGAGCACATTTTATGCCCAATTCTGTAATCCCAAGGGGTTCACAGCCTGAACTAAATCACTCAAAAGGCTGTAAAGAGCCTGAAATACCAACTAGTTGATTAGATCAAAGACCATTTTTTTTTTTACAGTTACCTGTAAACATGAAAATAAAGAAATCCACTATATAGTCCCTTTGGATGGAAATTTGTATAAAGAATGGAGGCTGTCATTGCTTAGCACTTTTGAAATTACTGCCACCCTGGTAGCCATGATAATGAATTAGCTTTGGTATTTCAATTAGTAGTTCCAACTTCGCTCTAACTCTGCTAAGCTGAATGCTTGTTCCAGGTCATTGTCTCTGTATTAAAGCAAGGAAAGCCAACCAAAGATGGATCGAAATTCAGCCAGTTCAGCAGGGACCAGACCAAATTTTGATCCAAGTATGGGCAGGATGGTACACTGAAGTCAATCCATTGGTCAACCTCAGTACAACCAGCCTGTCAGCCTTTTTTGTTGATCACTGCCAGTAGTGATCATTGTATTCTGATATCTGAGAAACCTACTACTCTCAGAATACATAAGCTCCATGAGAGGAAGCAATTTTCTTTCCTGCAACTTGTGGTTGATCTAGAGACAGCCACAGTTGTCACCAGGGCTGTACTTCAAACATGTCTTCCTCTTATCAGCTTTATTATATTGGGGGAAGGGGAAAAGGAGGAGTTTACAGAAAGAGAACATTGTTTTGCTTTCATTTTAGCTCACAAGAAGTGACAAGGACAGTGTATTTGGGCAAGATCAGCAGATATTTTTTTTGTACTTGGTGAAAATGTTATTAGCCTGACAAACGGAAAAAAATTTTTCCACTTATTTTTGGGCTTAGATATCATTTAAAGTAGTGGTGCACCGAAATGAAAAATCTGGTGCCGAAACCGAAAAATCAAAATACACTGGCCGAAAACCGAAACCCGCATTTTAAAAATGAATAGATATTTTCTGGAAAAAATACACTGATTTAAAACAATACATAGCCCAATTTTGTAAAATATGAAAGAGGATGTTATGTCGAGTAAATAGATACCAAACATGTCACGCTTTAAAATTGCACATGTTCGTGGAATGGTGTGAAACTCCGGGACTTAAAAATCTCCATGGGTGATGCTTTAAAAATTTCTACAGGAGAGCAGTGTAAAGTTACAGAGGAAGTCTAGTGCAAGAATTATTGCTCTTGCTCTGACGTTCGTGGAGATACCTCACGTGTGTGGTTTGAACACCATTCACATATGTGGGCAAGGCCTACGTATGCGTTCACCACTACGTGTGAGCACAGGGGCACTTTAAACTTTTTTTTTTTTTTTTTTTATTTGGTTTTTTTTTCACTATCCCTTTAAAAAAAAAATTTTAATCACTTTTATTCTTATCACAAAAAATGCATACATCCCTTGTGATAGAAATAATTAGTGACAGGTCCTCTTTATGGAGAGATATGGGGTCAATAGACCCCACATCTCTCCTCTACAATGTAAAGCATTTGATCAAAAAAAAAAAAAAAAAAAAAAAAAAACTGCAAGCATTGATCTAGTGACATTGCTCCGGTCCTCCAAGGGCATAGAGATGACTGGCGGACATCTTTCCTTCATTAATCTCTATGCCCAGCGCCGGGATCGATGGTTTCTCAGGTAATGCCAAGAAATACGGAGCAGCGGTCGGTGGTGGCGAGGGGCGACGGCAAGGTTTTTTTTGGCACCTGCTATTTTATCATTTCAGCCAACAGGGGCGTTTTCGGACGA